CTTGAAGTTAAACTTGCATTTTAAGTTTCTTATTAGACTAAGTGAAATTATCTGAACCAAGGTGGGCAAATTACTACTTTACATGGGTCAACTCTGGTAAGCCTAATTTTGCAAATAATGTTTATATACTCACTCATATATATTTTTTCCATGGCTGCTTTCTGCTTCCTGCTATGAAGGCAGATTTGGATAGGGGTCCCAGAGACTGTGCATACTGCAGAGCCCAAAGTATTTACTCTCTGGAATGTCAAAAAACAGTATCACAACAAGTTTAGCTTAAAGACTTAATTGGCTTTTATTTGAGTCTGGTAATAATTTATTCTATAATATAAAATCAGTGTTCCAATGAACCAAGTAGAGGAGTTTGGGTTAGCAAAATGAAGCCAGACATGGTGGCACATACTTGAAATCCCAGGTACTTGGGAGGCTGAGATAGTAGGATCGCAAGTTTGACACCAGCCTGGGCAACTTAGTGAGACCATCTCAAAACAAAACAAAACAAAACAACTGGGAGGAAGGGCAAGGTAAAGGGGTGATGATAAGGTGAAAATGGTTGCAGTATGTTAGGCACATGTATGGCTCTACCAAACTGAAACCCTCTAATCTATGTAACCCAAAACACTAATTGAATAACATATGGAAAAAGAAAGAAAAAAATAAATAATGACCAGAGGTGTACAGCTCGGTAGTAGAGTGCCTCCTTCTTTTCTGGCATATATGAGGATGTGGGTTTCATCACTAGTACTGGGAGTGGTAGGGGAAGGAAAAAGAGAACAAAAAGTAGATTATTTATTTCAAAGTTCTTCTCCTTGTAAAGGTTAAAGCAGAGGGGATTCCTTTAGCATACTGGTTAAAACTGGCCTGATTAGGGGTTTGGCTACCCATCCTCCACCCTGCTTTCTCAAATGGTCAGATAAGCAACTTGGTTTGAGCTTGGTGGCATGAGCGACTTCATTTTGATTTAATCTCGTAGGCCTAGTCCAAGGGTTCAGTCCAAACCAATGGCCTCCTGTAATTTTACTTAACAAGCCTTTCTAGAATGTTTTCTGATCCCTGTTCTAGAGCAGAAATAAAAAATACTATTTTTTCCTTTGACTTTTAGTCAAGAGATGGCTGAAACACCATCAAATAATCATATAGATCCCCTTGAAGGCTTTAACAGTTAAGAAGTAGGAGGAACAGCATTTATCAAGATCTCTCATCTTGATTTAAAAAATGTTTTCCCTTTAACAACATCTTTAATGGCCTTATGCCTATCTGGATTTAACCCACTCTTTGGGATGAAATACAAGGAAATTCTCATACACTGATGGTAGGCACAATTTCTTGGGTCATATAATATTTGTTTCTCTACATTCTATTTCAAAGGTATAAAAGAGACCAAAACAAAACAAAACCCAAGGGGCCATGTTTAAAGGGCAGAACATCAAGACCTATGCCCAAAGATTTGAATTAAGAAGTCTGTGGTCAGAGGCAGTAATTTGCAGTTTTCACAAGTGCCCTAGGGTAGTGTGGTACCAGGTGCTTGAAGCACCTATTGAAAATTGGTGCTTTAGGGAGACCAGAATGCCTTCTAGGCCTGTCAGGCCCTTTCTCTTCATTCAGAGGTCTAGGCAAATGTCACTTGGTGAAATTACTCCTCTTCCTCTTGGGCTTCTGCTTGACCCTCATACTGCATTCAATCCAGCCTGAGCTCATGCAGATGTGTGCTCCTGAATTATCATGTGTCTCATTACAGTATTGCAATTTGTTGCTGTCAGTCTCATAGAGTCTGAAGAATTCCTTGAGGTCAAGAAGGCTCCAGGAGATCTTTGTACTCAGGATACAGTGTTTTCATATAATTAACTTGGGATGAACATTGAAATGTATGCTTGGGTTAACAAAATGGTTATTGAAATAGGTTTCATTTAAAATAGATTTTATTTGAAGCTATTCATATAAATGTTATTACATCGTACATGTTGCTAAGTTAATTAGATAAGCTCTGTATTTTACATTTGTTATATAAAATACATTTATTTTTGAAAAGGATTTGGTTTTAAAAGACACCATTAACAGAATAAAAAGAAAAGCCACAGACTGTGAGAAGTAATTCTCAATTATATATATCTGATAAAGGATTCACAATAAGAATATGTTAAGAGCTCCTACAATTCACTGAAAAAGACAAGCTGCTTCGTTGAAAACATAAGCAAAAGACTTAAGCCCTTCACCAAAGAAAACATCTAAATGGCCAGCAAACATATTAAAAGGAACTCAACATCTTTAGTCATCAGAGAAATGCAAATTAAAACCACAATGAGATACCATTGCACACCCACTAGGAAACCAAAGTTGGCAAGGATGAGGAGCATCCGGAACTTGTATGCATTGCTAGTGGGAGTGTAAATTGGCAGAACCACTTTAGAGAACTGTTTGGCAATATCTATGAATTCCAAACACACACCTACACTCCAGCCTAAAGAGAGTAGGTACACATCCAAGAGAAATGAAAGAATTTGTTCTTTAAAAGACATGAAAAAGGATATTTATTGTAACACTATTCATAATAACTCCAAACTGGAAACAATCCCAAAATCTATCAATGGGAGAATGGATAAATAACTTTGGAACATTGATACAATAGAATACTATACCACAATAAAAGAGTGAATTACTAATATACACAACAAGATGGAACAATCTCACAGATGATGCAATGTTGAGTAAAAGGAGCTGGAAATCAATAGATAGAATATTGAGACAGGAAAGTAGGGTGTAGTAAAGCTGGATGAGGACATCAGCATGATCTATTAATTGTAAGATTCCAGAACACAGCCACAGAACAGTTCCCAAATCCCTGCACGTGGACTTCTCCTGAGAACTCCATTAGGTTTCCAATAGGATGGCCTAGACTGGATGGGATCACAGCACCACCTCTCAGGACCCGGATGTAGACGTTCTCGTGGGATTCCTTGAGATTTGGACACCATAAAAGAACACAGACACCACGAAGAGCTTGCTATCCTGGCTTTTCTCAGGAAAGCCTGCCCTGCATCCTCCAGTGTGTGCTTTTATCATATTTTTTCCTCTTTTACTAGGCTCAAGCTCGCTCTGCAGAGCCAGTTTGTTCCTCATTTCATTTTCACTTTTTCAAAGTTTTTTACTTTTTCAAACTTTGCTACCATTTTTCACTCATTTTGTGCACTTCTTTGGGATGAGAAGAACCTGTAAACCAACTCAGAAGGAGATGTGAACACCGCAAAACCCGGTAACATTCATTTGACAAGCCAATTTCTAGAAGGAGCTACCCAGTAACATTATTTGGGGTAGCCAGCCAGGACAGTCAAAAGCCAAGAGATTCTAGTAAAACTATGCCTCTATTTCGCCCCTTGTGGTACTGAAGATTAAACTCAAGGGTGCTCAGCCACTGAGTTACAACCCCACTTCTTTTTATTTTTTCATTTTGAGACAATCTCACTAAGTTACCCTGATTCTCCTGTCCATCTTTTTTTTTTTTAAGCAAAGTTTTACATTTATTAAAGGTAGGAAAAGAAACATGCTTTGTTATATTTTCAACCCACAATAATCAGCTTTTAACCTAATGGCTAACTTTTTTTTACAAAATATGATTTTTCTGTATAACTTGATTTTCTTAAAAAAATATACGTATATTTAAAAGTCAAAGGCTGAGGTGGAGTAGTTCTATGGTAGAGTGCTTGCCTAGCATGTGCAAGGTCCTGGGTTAGATCTCAGCATTGCCAAACAAACTGGGCATGATGATATATACCTATAATCCCAGCACTCTGGGAAGCTGAGGCAGGAGGATCATAAGTTTGAGTTCAGCCTGAGCAATTTAACGAGACTCTCTCAAAATATAATATAAAGAATGTTATGAGTGTAACTCAGTGCAGAGGCCCTGGGTTTAGTCCCCAGTGCCACAAAACCAACAACAATGACAACAACAACAAAATCAAATGTGAAGAAGAATATAAACATAGGCATTACCAATAATCCACCACTTTCTTATTTAATAACATTTTTTAAAATACCAAATGGAACAAAAAAAGGCAAACAAGTGAATTTCGCCATTTGTTTAGACTTTATAAAATAGTGTGTCTTTCATTTTCTCCTTTCACTTTTCAGAGATGACCATCAGTTGGAGACTAGCTTATGTTTGAATTTAGTTTTTAGGAAAGAAACCTTCTACTCTGTGTCTGTACTCGCAGTCTGAAGATGATTAATAATGGGCAATCAGAACATGCAAGCCAAGGACAAATTAAGTACAGATCGCTGATAAAGAAGATGCCTCAGAGTATTCTCTTCTTGATGGAGTCACAAGTTGACCCTTTGTCCTTTCCCCAAAGCAGCCCTCTCTGCATCATTCCTGCCAGCACCAAGGCATCTGGTAAAATAAATATTAGGAGGTGCACGACCACAGATTCACAACCGAGGCTTTGTCTTGTCTCACACAAATATCATCTGAACAATGAGACACTGTCTGAGGTGACCAGGGGGCAGCGGGAGGGGTGGTTAGTCAAGTTCTCTTTTTTGACTAGTTACTGATTTATAAAGCTCATTTGCCCATTTTCTCCTTCTTTGCTTGAATACCTCCCCAGGGACTTTTGATCCTCTCTCTAGTGTCTACTCTGAGGGTCCAAGGAGTCTCTGGCACAAGGAAACTTGACCAAGGCCTTTTCTGCTGATCCTTTTATCCAGAAAAAAGGACCAGTCCAGTTTTTCTCCTAAAAATTATTCTATTTTATTTTATCATTTAAAGTGCTGGAGATTGAAACCAGGGTCCAGTGCATGCAAGGCAAAAGGTCTACCAATGAGCTATATCCTCAGACCCTTTTCCATTTTTTTAACCTCATGTTCACAAATACTTTATAATGTTTCTAAGTTGGTTAGACTGGATTTTAAACTTATCTAGCCTTGTACATTGTCTTAGTTGGTTTTTTTATTGCTATAACAGAATACCTGAGACTGGGCAGCTTATAAAAGAGTTTGCTTTTGCTCACAGTTCTGGAGGCTGGGAAGTTCAAGACTGGGTGACAAGACACCCACTGGTGGATGTCTCTTGTGGCTTCAAGTCTTGACAGAAAGCAAAAAGTGCATAGGTAGTCCTGCAGGGTAAGAAGTGAGCTGTCAGGCCATTTCTCATTTCTTCTTCCTTTTTGTGTTGCTGGGATCAAACCCAAAGCTTTGTGCATGTTATGCATGCACTCTACTGAAAAGCTACATTCCCAGACTTGAACTGTATTTATAACAACCTAATCTTGCATGACTAACCCATCCCTAAGAGAGCTAATCCAGGCTCCTGATAATGACATTAATCCCTCTTAACAACATAATCATTCCTTATCAGCCCCAACACCTCTCAACACTGCCACATTGGTAACCAAGCCTCAAATGAGCCTTGGTGGGGACAAACCATATTCAAGCCACAGTACATATCTTCTTAAAAGTTAAGGCATGCAATGATTTTTTTGAATGTGGCACCCAGGGCATTCACAATAAGCTACATCCCCAGCCCTTTTAATTTTTTGTTTTGAGATAGGATCCCCCAAACTGGGCTTGAACTTGTGACCCTTGTACCTCAGCCTCCCAGAGTGCTGGGAGTATGAATATGTGCCATGCAATAAACAATTTTATTTGCATTTGTTGTGTTTTTCTTATTTTTGTTCATCATGCCTCTATTCAAGACACATACTATCATTGTCTTTTTCCCCTCTTCAGATCTTCTCATTGATCTCATTCATTAATTCATTCAACAAATATTTTGCAGTGCACTTACTATGTACCAATCTAGGTTTGAGGAAATCTCAACGAACAACACCAGGTTCCTGGTATCATAGCCTTACACTCTAATTAATGAACAAATATATATTTATAACATAAAATCAGGTCATGTAGTAACAAGTATCATGAAGAAGAAAACAGCAGTGTAAATGGATGGAGAACGATATTTTGGTGGTTGTATTGGGTACTTTGGCCTGGTAAGGTCTCTTCAAGAAGGTGGCACTGCTTTGGGTGCTTTGACTTTTTCTCTAATCTTTCAAGGTCTCAATGCCCATTTCTGCACCTCTCGTCCTCTACCACCCTGCTTACCTGTACCTCCTCTCCACCCATCCTACACTGTCACCTTCCCATGACTGCCTTACTTTCCTCTTTGCCCTCACTCTCCACTACTGTCTTCCACAATCTCTTCTAGGAGTTTCTTTAAAAAGCTTAGCTCATCACAAAGAATTTACAATGGATGCTTAACACATCCTTTTAATACCACTCATCTGCCTTGGATATTGTATTGTGATTTTAGAAATATTCTAGTATAAAAAAGACAATTTCCCAAACTTTTGGTTAGATACACTGCTGTGTGTGGAGGGGTATAAGGCTCTGGGGCACAAGTCTCTCCCAGCTTCTTCCTCTTAACCCTACAAGTGCTGTCAACACTTATAAAAATATCAACTCAATAAAAATTTGCCTTAACAGATAGCCATTATGGTAGCTATTCAATAGCTACACTATGCAGAGCAGCATACATTGCAGTCTGACATGGAAATTACTTTTCAAAAGACCACATCCGTTTTTAGGATGATTCACATTTCGACTGCAGTTCAGACCACCTGATATTTATTCCCTACCATTTGGAACTCTGCCTTCATTTCTGGGCTTTGCATATAGTCTTTCATTAAACAAATAATTCCAACAATGGAATGGATTCTATGATTTTCACTAAACTATATGCAGGGGTCAATTTCCAAGTGAGTTGGCCAGGCCTCTAGGGCCATGCACTATCTCTATATATGCCAGTGCTAAGCACAATACCTGAACAGTAATTGCCATTGAACACACCAACGACTAGAAAGGAAAGAGCTGTATCTAGTAGTTAAATATTCACAAGCTCTTCAGAATAATTTGATTCTGTTATCCACACTATTTGGAAACTGTCTATGTCAGTTTTTTTATTTTCATTTTTTTGCAGTGCTGGGGCTTGGACCCAGGACCTCCTGTGTGCTAGGTAAGTGCTATACCACTCAGCAATATGCCCAGCCCCTATGTCAGCTTTTTAGTCACTTCTGTTTTCATTATGGGATGTAATTTTATTAGACACTAAATGTTATTATCTACACAGAGTCAATGGCCTACCAAAGAGTGTTTTGAGCTCTAATTAAGAACAAAACACCCAATTATATTATATTGAACTTAAGAATCACCTTTAGGTTTTGTTTCATCTTGTATTGCTGAACAAGGAATCAGAGGGATTGGGTCAGGCAGAGGAGCTATTTGAGGATTTAGTGAATGGATTGCATCTTAGGGCTGCTTTAGAGGCTTTGCCCTTTAAGCCAGATGGATGGTGACTCTGTGGTGGTTAACAAGCTTAGTTGGTTTTGCAGCCTCTTAGATTTCATCCTGTTTGCCAAGAATGAGCATCAAGCTCTGTCAACTTCACAGCTTCTCTCCTGGGTCCCCGCCCTCTAACTCCGGTTTAGTCTCGCCCTGACTTCATGACCCACCTAGAGTCTCCATTTGGGAACTTGTTAGAAATGCAGAACCACAAGCTCCACCCACTGCCTTCTAAATCAGTCTGCATCTCAGTAAGCTCATATGTCTGTATATTAAACTTAGACAAACACCCTTCCAAGGGGCTCTCAGCAATGAACAGCATGGTTACCCAACTTTAGTGAGCCTCAAAATCATTGGTAAATGTATGAAATTTAAAATTCCTGGCCCCAGCCACAAAGATTTTGATTCAGGAAGTCCTTGGAATCTGCCTTTTCTTTGGTATGTCCTGCTGGCCTGGTCTGAGCTCAGATTCAGTCCTGATGGTTGGGTTTCTACATAGCTTTGTTTTATCCAGTTTCATTAACTTGTGCTGTTATGTCTCAGTCTCTGCCGTCAGTGTTGTATGTGGTCTCAGTCCTTGCTTTCAGTGTTGTCTTTTATTGTCACGGTGACTGTTGTCTCAGTCATTGTTGCTAGTGTTGGCTTCAGAATTTTTATGCAGAAAGGGAAAAGGATGGTTGAAATTGTTCTTGTTTAACAATTTGAAAAACTATCAGTTGTCCAAATCAAGGAACTGAAAATGAAGTTAATGAAGTTTATCGGGAACACGATTACGATCTACTTTATTCTTACCATTCTTGTCCCTAGATCCAGAGACCTTCTCCTGAACTCCGGATCTGGAGTTAGAGTCCTTTCATCACAAGTATCAGAAACAGTCTCTGCCTAGATCAGCACAGAACTTTACTAGGGAGATATCAGATGGCTCACAGAGTCAACAAGAAATTTACAGAGCAAGGCTCACACATGGGTAGGAAACAGGACAGAGGTGGGAGCCTGGAGAGCAGGAACTTCTCAATAGTCTCTTCTCAAAGCCATTTCTGGAATGACAGAGCTCCAACCACTTTCAGTCTTTTTGCTATTTTTCTGAAGATTCAAATCCCAGGGTAGGAGTATTTGGCCTCACTTGGCTAGGGGAGAGCTGATCACACTGAGTAGCATTCTTCACAAAATCTATCAAATAGGGTGGATAATTTCCCAATGGAAACAGACATGGTAGAAAAGGTGCTTGGCAACCAAACAAGCATCCATCGTCCACCACACCAGTGAGTGGGTGGAGTCTTGATACTAGGTGGTACACTTCTGTGGCTTCTCAGACCTCACCAGAAGTAAGTTTTATGACATCAGAAATTTTTGTTGGTTTTGGTCCCTGCTGAATCTCATGAGCATGGAACAGTACCTGGTACATGGGAGGTTCTCCATACATATTTGGCAGATGAATGAATGGAGAGGCTGTATGGAGTGAATGTTTGGATGTGGCCTTTGGTGTCAAAGCTCAACTCTACTATTTTATAGTTGTGTTAATCTTGGGAGGTATGAACTGAAGATCTCTGAAGAAGCCATATGTGTATTGGAGAGCCTACAGACTGTTTGACCTTGGCTAATGGGAACATTTTGTGGAAACATTGAACGTTGATCAAGAGCCAAAGTTATCTTGGGTCTTTTTTAGTTCCTTTTAATAGTCATTTATTAGTAACTACTGTATCTGACCTAACATCTCATGACTACTAGATAAATCTCTTAGATTGTATCAGTAAGCTTAGCAGACTAGGAGCCTCCACCAACCTTAAAAATAAGAATGCTGTCATATCTAAAACCTATAGATGAGATTTCCCCATCTAGCTGTAGCCTGCCTACTGAAAGTTCCCATCAATGTAATTGGTAAATATATTGATTTATGACTTTCTTTTGTTCTTTGACTGTAAAAGTTCATGTAACCTCCCCCACAGCGGAATGTGTCATTTAGGATAACTTGTATCTGTGTCCTGGGCCATGGTCACTTAACTTTGGCTCAGAATAAACTATTTTCTTATTTCCTTCAGTCCAGAGCTGTTATTTTACATCCACAGTTGGTACTTAACTTCTCTGTCCTACTGTGGCTTATTTTCTCATAGCTGAAAAGAACAAATCTTATTTCATAGGGTTGTAGTTAGGATCTGCTTAGGACACTGCCTATTTTGTTGGGTATTGCTTCATCTATCTATTGGCATGTGAAAACCATCCCAAAACTTAGCGCCTAAATCAGCAGTTTATTTTTATGCTCAGGAGTCTGCAGTTTGAGCAGGGCTTAGTGAGGAGAATTTGTCTCTGCTCTGTGTGATGTCTGTCGTGGCTGGAATGTCTATGATAGCTTCTTGCCTCATATGCCAGGCACCTCAGCAGAGATGGCTCAAATGGTTGGGGCTGGCTGGAAGAGCTTCCTTGGGATTGTACATCTAAGACCTTGGTTCTTTTGGCTATGGAATCAGCTCACCTCCATTTAGCTTTTCTGAGCCCCTTCCCATGTTGCCTCTCTTGTGGTCTCTGTGAATCTCCAATTTCCAAGAGTAGAAGGTTTTAGGTCTTCCTAAAGCCTTTTCCTTCTTAAGGCATGGATCTTAAGGCTTAGGTTATATTCTGTTGGCTTTTCAACCTCAACATTTTTGACATTATGGGCCAGATAATTCTCTGGGCCTGTGCTATGCATTGTAAAATGCTTAGCAACATCCTTGACCTCTACCCACCTGTCAAGTAGGGATGCCAGTGGCACTCTCCCATCTCAGTCTTCATTTTTGACAAAACTGTCTCCAAATATTGTGAAATGTTCCATGGGGTGAGTGAGGGTGTCTCCCTGAGTTAAGAATCACTGGGTTAAAGCATGTTACAGATTCAAGGGGGAGGCTTCACAAGGGCTGAGTACCAGGAAGCACAGCTTAGTGGGGCTGTCCGTGTAATAGACCCCAGTGGCTACTGGTATCTCAAAGCCTGGTTTTTCCAAGGGATCTTTGTTCCTAGATTCTGCTTATATCTTGAGCCATCTCTCTCATTTTTACCTGTTTTCTTTCTTTCCTTCCTTCTTTCTTTCCTCCCTCTCTCCCTCTATTCTTTCTTTCTTTCTTTCTTTCTTTCTTTCTTTCTTTCTTTCTTTCTTTCTTTCTTTCTTTTGACAGAATCTCTCTATGTAGTTCAAGCTGGCCTTGAACTCACTACGTAGTCCAGTGCCCCTGCCTCAGCCTCTTGAGTGCTGGAATCACAGGCATGTGCCCCCATGCCTGGTGCTATTTTATCATTTATTTTTGAGACAAGGTCTCACTGAGTTGCCTCAGCTGGCCTCAAATTTTTTATCCCCCTGCCTCAGCCTCCTGAGTAGCTAGGATGACAGGTATGCACCACAGTGCCTGACTCTTTGTCTTCTTAATGGGCTCCTCATTCTTACTGCTTGTCTGATGTCCCATCTTATCACTGGCAATGCTCTGCAGTTTTCTGTCTCTCACCTACTCATGGCTTTCTTCTGCACTGTGCTAGTGGGCAATCTAATAGTGGTTCTCTTCTTGCCCCGAGCCCTGCAGTTCCCGGAGCTGTCCCCAGTGCTTATGGAAAAGCACATAACAGGCTCTGAGGACAGATAAGGCTGATGCAGCAGTCATCTGCTCTCATATCTACACACATCTGCTCTCTCCTCCAAAGGCCCTTGCTTATCCCCTCTTCCTCTCCTCTCACCCACTCCTCTGCTGTCCTCAGAGGAGCTTGTCTTCCAGGAAGCCTCCCACAAAGCCCTGTCTGCATTCAGAGCATTTTCTTGAGGGCAGAGGCCATTTCATCTTCATGTCCCCACCACAGTGTCTGCTGCAAGGAACATATTTCTTAGATCAATAAAAGAGTGATTTAAAAGCAAAAAAAAGAGTTTAAAATTAAATGAGACACCGAATAAGCATGAGATTGAGTGGAAGAGACTTCTGGGTAGAAGAAGAAGCTAGTTCACAGGCTGGGGCTGGATAGGCAGAGGTGTCTGAGGAGGAGCTAGGAGGCTGGAGTGGCTGGAGGAGAGAGAGGGCAGGGGTGTGCAAGCATGGGGTTGAACAGGTAAGAGAACAAGCCATTTAGTGTTGCAGTCAAGATAAGGGCTCTGGATCTCAGTGTGAAGGTGCTGAGAAGCCTCTGAGGGAGGTTTTCTACAGAACAGTGACTTGCAGTGACCATGTTCTTGAGATTATTCCAACTCCTGTGTTGAAAATGACCGCGGCAGGGCCAAGGGTCAAGCAGGAAGATCAGCTGGAAGCTATTGCAATAATTCTGCAGGAGATGCTCATACCCTTTTCTGGTGGACGGGGTTAGGATATGAGAGAGGGAGCCATATCAGGGATGACTCCAGAGTTGGGTTGGAGTAACAAAGAAGTGCTATTTTCTGACAGATGGATACTATTTAGAGATGGAGATGGAAAATTTAGTTATGTTAAGTTTGAGATTCTTATGATGTGTTCTATTGGTTGCAGAGTTGACAGTTGGATATACAACTGTAAATTGCAGGGGAGTTATACAAGGGATGATCAAAAACATGGTGAATGTTTGAAATGTTAAAAATGTATTAGAGTAAAATATACATTCTCTTTGATGCCCCACCTCAAAATACTTCTGCTAGCTTGGAACACACTTATTGTTCTTGTCACTTTCTGGAGCAGTTCTGGAAGTCGTATTTCATGAATGTCTTTGCCTGGTGTGGTAAAAAAAAATGGTGAATGTTGCTGCTGAGTGCCATCCCACGGAAAGACAGGTTTGTGAAAAATATTATGGTGTGTCCTCATCTACCTTATTCATTGGATATGGTACCATGTAACTTCTGGCTCTTCTCCAATGTCAAAATGGCCAAGAAATGTCACTATTTTGAATTAGTTCAGGACATTGAGATACCCATGACAGTGCAACCGAAGTCACTCATGAAACGACTTCCAGAACTGCTTCAGAAAGTGATAAGAAAGATGAGGTATTGCTGGGTATATTCCCAAAAGAATTAAAAGAGCCATACCACAACGATATATGTGCACTCATGTTTATAGCAGCACAGTTTGTAATAGTGAAAGCTTGGAAACAGCCCAAGTGCCCATCAACTGGAAACTGAATAAAGAAGATGTGGGTTTTTTTTTTTAATAAAATGGAGTACTACTTGGCCATAAAGAATGAGAAACTAGAGACATTTATAGCTAAATAGATGCATATTGAGGCCATACTCTTAAGTGAAATAAATAGGACACATGTGTGTAAATACCACATAGTTTTCTCTGGTATGAGAAACTGAAAGTGTAAATAATGATTAAAATGAATAATTGATAACGTGAAATAGGAAGAAAAGGTCTAAAGAGGTAGGGGAAGTGGGAGGAAAAGGGGAAAGGAAAGAAGGGAAAGGAAAAATTATAAGAAAAGGAAAAAATGGAAACAAAGTCTTTGTAAATAGAGAAGGGTGGAGGGGGTGAAGGGGGGACAAGAAATGGGGAACAAATACGATCTAAGATACATCATGTATAGGTACAAGTACCCAATGATAAATGTAAACGTATTGTATACCTAAAATGTACCAATAAAAGAATCTAAGAAAATAAAAGAAAAGAAAGATGAGGTAAGTGTGTTTAAAGTGAGCAGGAGTATTTTGAGGTGAATTAATGGCATTGTGTCTTCCTGTCTAAAAATTTTTTTAAACATTCACTGTAATTTTCGATCATACTGTGCATAAACTAAAGATGTGAATGTGGAAGTTATTAGCTCTATTACTTAAGTTAGGGCAAATTTCTGTTTGTTTTTTTTTTTAAAAAAACACAACAAAATACAATGGCTTAATATAATAGAAGTTTATTTCTTACAATTCAAAAGTCGGAAAATGTTCCAAATCATTGGCAAACTGTGACAAGATTTATTTCTATGAAAAGTTGGGGACAAAAACCTAAAGTAGTTCAACAAAGTATGGGAAAAAGAATTAGAAGCAGAGACTGTGTGTAGACAATTGATTCAAAAGCTTTTGTTATAAAGGGAAACCAAAAATGGGGTAGTAGCTTGAGGGTGATGTAGGTTTGAAACATTTTTGTTGATTTCTTTTCTTTTTCTTTCATTCTTTTTTTTTTAGGGTGGGTACTGAGGACAGAATACTAGATAAATGCTCTGCCACTGAGCTATGTCCCCTGATTTTTTTGTTGATTTTTAAAGTCTTCTTTCTTTTTTTGATGGTGGTGGTGTTGCGGGATTGAACCTAGTACCTTATACAGGTTAGGCAAGTGCTCTCCCACTGAGCCACATCCCCATCTAAGTCTTTTTTTTTTTATAGGGAAAATGACAGCATATTTCAATGTTAATAGAGAGGGGAAAGGACTGAAGAGGCAGGAAGGAGAGAGAATTTCAAGAGCCTGTTTGAGTACATAGAGGAAATGTCAACCAGAGTAAAGGCTGGAGCATAGGTGACTCAGCCATGGAGATAGCAGGCTAGCCTGGGTAGATTAAGCAACCACCATGCCTGGTACAGTAGAGAGATAGGATAGTAGGGCCTGGCTAAGGTAGCTGGCGAAACAGGCACGACTTGTTGACTAAAAGATCCCAGACACATAGGGAGAACTGTTCCCACAACTCTAAACATGGACCTCTGAGAACTCCAGCAGGTTTTCAGTAGGATGGCCTAGACGTGACATCAGCTCAAGGCCTGGGATCCCAGCGCTGCCTCTTAGGACCCAGATGTAGTTCTCATGGGTTTCCTTGAGATTTGGACAGCATAAAGGAGAGGTGCCACAATAAGCTCTTGCTATTCTCCAGGGTGTTCTTTTATCCTGCTTTTTCCTCTTTTACTGGGCCCAAATTCAGTCTGCAGAGCCAGTTTCTCTCTCACTCTTCACTTTTACTTTCTCAAATATTCTTGGCCACTGCTTTTTGCTCATTTTGTTCAATTCTTTGTTCCAGTCAAGAAGAACCTGCCATCTAACTCCCAAGGGAGAGGCAAGCAACCCCAAACCCCGTAAAGTTTAGTTGGGGAGCCACTTTTTAGAAGCAGGCTAGCCGGTTACAATAGTTCTCTTTTGATTGTTTTCAGCATTGCCGAATGACAAGGGTCAAAAAGTCCTCAGTGGATTCAATCCATTACCAAGCATATGTAGCCTTAAACCCTGTGTTTTGCAACCACAGTGCAGGATATTACAAGTAAATTATAGTTCTTGGGCTGGGACTGTAGCTCAGTGATAGGGAGCTTGCCTACCATGAGTGGAGGCACAACTTTGACTTACCTTGACTTAGCTTGTCTCTAAAGTTGTAGAATAAATAGAACTTGGGCCAGGGATTTAGCTCAGTGGTGCTGCCGCCTGTCCTGCAAGCGCAAGGACCAGAGTTCAGTCCCCAGTACCAAAAAAAAAAAAAATAAAAAGAGTAAACAGAACTCTTGATCTTCAATGAAATGAATGCATGAGCACATTTATTGCTTAAATGCATATTTTTAAGAGTATGACTCACAGACAGAAAAATGTATGAACAATCAGTATTTTTAAGTGACATATCTGTATTAAGAAATAAGACTTTACCAGTAAACTAGTAGTTCCTTTTATGTGGTTTTCTAATCAATACCCCATATTCCTTGTGAAGTTAGTGACTACCTTGACTTCTGAAATAAAAAGATTAAACCAGGCATGGTAGTACACACCTATAATCCTAGTGCTCAAGGGACCAAGGCAGGAGGATTTTGAATTCAAAGCCAGCCTGGCTACAGCGTGAGAAAAAAAATTAATTTTGCCTGTTTTTGAACTTTATACATGTAGAATCCTACATTTTTCTTTTTTTGTATCTACCCTCTTTGGTATAATTGTGGGATTCACCCATATTGTTAGATATACCTATAGGTTTTTATTCTCACTGGTGTATTTCAATGTGTGAATATTTTGAAAAATTCCACTATTAAACCATTTTATTCTGTGTGAGGTTTTTTTCTTTCTTTCATTTTAGTGGTGTTGGAATGAAACCAGGGCCTCACATATGCTAGGCAAGCCCTTTATTACTAAGCTATACTCCTAGCCTATGTTACTGTTCTGTGTTTGGCTAGTTTCCAGTTTTTGACAATTAGTAATAGAGCTTCATGAACATTTTTGTGCATGCCTCTTGGAGATGGCTCCCTTCCTTTGGGCATAAACCTGTACATACATTTAAAGGTAGTCCAGAGTTTCCTATTGCTTTCACGTTCTAGTGTCTTGTTGAGCTTCCAGCATCAATGGACATGTACAAGTGAGGTTATGGGGTCAGATAGCCTCTTCTCAGCCCTCTTGGATTTGTTGTGGAATTCTCATAAGATCGCCAAATGCTTCAGTAACTGCATCTCCAGTATGTACGGCTGAGACAGAAATCAAGTATTTCATTAAAAGGAATAAAGATAGGTAATGAAGAAGTCAAA